TTCTCTTGATTTATCTTCATGTTCACTGACCCTTTCTTCAGTCATAGCAACTCTGTTACTAGGCTAATCCAGTGAATTTTTACTTCAGACATTGCACTTTTCAGTTCTAGACCTTCCTTTTCATTTTTGATATAGTTTCCTTTCTCATTTGAAGTTTCCTATCTTTTCCTATTTTACAAGCATATTTTATATATTTGAGCACTATTATTATAACTGCTTTAAAATCCTTGTCTGCTAGTTTCTAATATCTAGATCATCTCAGGATTGATCTCCATTGATTTCCTTTTCACTTGAGCCAAGTTTTCCCATTTCTTCATATGTCAAGTAATTTTGGATTGTAAACTGGATGTTATGAATGATATGTTGTAGACTCTAGATTTTGTTATATTCACCCGAAGAGTATTAGTGTTTTGTTTTAGCAGGCAATTAGCTCAACTGAATTTGGCTAGACTTTATATATAGAATTTGGGGCTTCCCCTCTTTGGCTTTCTCTTTTTCGGGATTTCCCCTTCACTCTCCAGGGGTTGTGGTTGCTCCAGATTCTGTCCTTGGGTTTTTCAATCCAGAAAAACTGAGGGCGCCAATCCTTCTCATTCAGACTGGGGACTTCCTTCAGGCTGAAAACTGTATAAAGTGAGAAACTCAGCCAGTGCCATTCCCTTCTTCCAAGTCTCAACTCCCCTCCAAGATCTGCCCATGAACACTCTCTGATGCTTTCAAGTAGTTGTTTGGTGAGTTTTGTCCGTATTGTGTAATTGTCATCTGAGGAAAGATTGGCCTGAGAGGAGCTACTCATCCATTACCAGAAGTGGATTAAGACCTGTTTAGTATTAAATGCTAAGAGTTGGCTTCAGATAGGCCTAAGAAGCAGGAGGGAGAGAAATAAAAGTGGGAGAGGGGGAGAAGGAAGGGAAGAAAGAAAATACAAAAAGAAAAAAATGTAGTTTTGAAATAGCCTTATAAATTACTTAGGTTAGCCCTCAGGAGCAAAATTGCCATAACTTCCCTACTCCTGTTATAGACACTAACATTCAAACTTTGCTCTGATTTCCCACGTAAACAGGCATTTTCTTGACAGTGTATTTGTCAAGCTTGTAAAAAAAAGCTAAACAGAACCAGTATGAGGACTCACACATTCCATTATCATTTATCTTCAAAGTTAAATTGCATAAAGCAAATTAATAGCTAATACTACTCTTTCATTCATCTTTTTCCAAAATCATTTTGATCAAGCATAAGCACAAATTGCTGAAAAGCATTAATCAACTGTAAATAGTTAAGCATGACTTTTCTCTGACCTTTCTATCACACAGATCCTTTTCTTTAACCCATTTCATACAGGATCATGAGACAAAACTAACCCAGAAAAAACATTTAAAAAAAATCTCTTAACTGTTTGGCCTGCATTCACCCAAGGCTGTGACGGAAGTGTTTTTTAGTATTAAAGTATGAGAAGTGATAACTATCAGTTGTGAGACAGAAGAAAAGGAATTAAATTTTATTTCACAGGTTGTATTTTATATTTCTCTTGATTTTCTCCACAGCATGTAGCATATAGTAAGCATTCACATGGCTAGTTGAATTGGTTTGTTTTGATTGATTCTCCTGTTATACCCTTAACAAATTATCTAAATAAAAATATTTTAAGAAAATATTTCCCAACAGAGATACACTAAGAAAACAATGTCTCTCACACATACATGCACAATCTAGTGATATATCCTTTTTTAAAAAAGTTGTTAATGAAAGAACACTTATAGTTAGTAATAGTTTACAAATTGGTAGGGTAATATTTGGACTGTGCTATTATTAATCATTAGTGAAGATGCTATAGCACCAGTTAATTTTCCCTAAAAATACTTCTTTTTCTCAGTCACTTACACACACTCTCTCAGCACTACATTCTTTTTTTTAAAATTTTTTAAAAATTTTTTATTGAGTTAATGATAGGTTACAATCTGGTGAAATTTCAGTTGTACATTATTGTCTGTCATTCGTGTTGTAGGTGCACCACTTCACCCTTTGTGCCCATCCCCCACCTCACCTTTCCCCTGGTAGCCACTAATCTGTTCTCTTTGTCTACATTTTTGAATTCCTCATATGAGTGGAGTCATACAGAGATTGTCCTTCTCTATCTGGCTTATTTCACTTAACATAATTCCCTCAAGGTCCATCCATGTTGTTGCAAATGGGATGATTTTGTTCTTTTTTACGGCTGAGTAGTATTCCATTGTATATATATACCACATCTTCTTTATCCAGTCATCTGTTGATGGGCACTTAGGTTGCTTCCACGTCTTGGCTATTGTAAATAATGCTGCAATGAACACTGGGGTGCATGGGACTTTTGGAATTGCTGATTTCAGGTTCTTTGGATAGATACCCAATAGTGGGATAGCTGGATCATATGGTAGTTCTATTTTTAATTTTTTGAGGAATCTCCATACTGTTTTCCATAGTGGCTGCACCAGTTTGCATTCCCACCAGCAGTGTATGAGGGTTCCTTTTTCTCCACAACCTCTCCAACATTTGTTACTATTTGTTTTAGTTATTTTTGTCATTCTAATGGGTATAAGGTGATATCTTAGTGTAGTTTTGATTTGCATTTCCCTGATGATCAGCGATGATGAGCATCTTTTCATGTGCCTATTGGCCATCCGTATATCTTCTTTGGAGAAATGTCTGTTCATGTCTCCTGCCCGTTTTTTGATTGGGTTGTTTAATTTTTTGTTGTTGAGTTGTGTGAGTTCTTTCTCTATTATGGATATTAAGCCTTTGTCAGATGTATTACTTGCAAATATTTTTTCCCAGTTAGTGGGTTGTTTTTTTGTTTCAATCCTGTTTTCCCTTGCCTTGAAGAAGCTCTTTAGTCTGATGAAGTCCCATTTGTTTATTCTTTCTATTGTTTCCCTTGTCTGAGAAGACATGGTGTCTGAAAAGATCCTTTTAATACTGATATCAAAGAGTGTACTGCCTATGTTTTCTTCTAGAAGCCTTATGGTTTCAGGTCTCAGCTTTAGGTCTTTGATCCATTTTGAGTATTTTTTGGTGAATGGTGAAAAAGAATGGTCAATTTTCATTCTTTTACATGTGGCTGTCCAGTTTTCCCAGCACCATTTGTTGAAAAGACTTTCTTTTCTCTATTGTAGGCCCTCAGCTCCTTTGTGGAAGATTAGCTGTCCATAGACGTGTGGTTTTATCTCTGGGCTTTCAATTCTGTTCCATTGATCTGTCAGCACTACTCTCTTGAAGCGAGCATACACAGTTTCCACCAAAGGAAGGATATAAGCTGCAATATTTATAGCCACAGGCAAAATTTAAATCATGGCAGATCCTGACACTGATGCTCAATACTAATTTACTGCTCTTGGAAAATTCTTTAGTTCTCACAATTAGGCAGATAAAATGAATTGTGTATTGCCCTCAAATAGATACTGGTTATCCTGTATTTCAATTTAAAGTCTAAAACTCTTCAACTTAAATAGTTTTAAAACCCATTGTAGGGGCTGGCCCCATGGCGGAGTGGTTAAGTTCACGCGTTCTGCCTCGGGGGCCCAGGGTTTCACCGGTTCGGATCCTGGGCGCAGACATGGCACTGCTCATCAAGCCATGCTGAGGCAGCATCGCACATGCCACAACTAGAAGGACCCACAACTAAAAATATACAACTATGTACCAGGGGGCTTTGGGGAGAAAAAGGAAAAATAAAATCTTTAAATAAATAATAAAATAAAACCCATTGTACACTTGCCTTTCAAGTCTCCACGTGCATGAGAAACAAATGTCAACTAATCTTATATACATGATAAAACATGAAACCAGAAAAAATCATTATCAAAAGCATTTATGGTATTAACCTAGAGTTGTAAGGAGACTTAGAGATAATGTACTCTAACCATGAACTTTTCCAGTGAGGAAAGTAAGGCCTAAAGAGGCTAAATGACCTGCATAAATTCTGCTTTCACCACAGAGCAGCAGAATTAGAACTCATCTAGTGTCTTTCCATTATACTATTCCACCCTTTATAGAGCCAGAGACTTTTAAAGTGTCTTAAATAAATCTTTTTTATGGTCATAGATAATAAATAAAGACATTTAACTAAGATAAATTCATTGTTAGAAATCTTAAGTTTTTAAGTATTTTGCTTTTCTAATACAGCAATTTAAAAATTGTCCCCTACAAGGCTTTATGTATTGTTTAAATAACATGCCTTTATTATTTATCTTTACATATCCCAGTTTTAATTATTCTGAATAGTTGGTTTTATAGCTTGTAAAGAGGTAGAAAAGACTGCAGGAACTACTTAAAATTTTTAAAAAGCTATAGCGATCATAGACTTGCCTCAAAAACCTCATTTATATAGTTAGGCCATGGTTGCTAGGCCCCAAAATTATCCTTTCTCAGAAAGCTCATTTAAAACTTCTCAGATTGAACTAATTCACCATCTTTTCTTGGAGAAGTATTTCACGCCAACTTTGTATTTTATGTATCACTCTAATAAATATGTTATCTCTCTTAGATGTCAACTATTTCCCTATAGCTATGCTGCCTCTTGTCACAACTGGAGAGTCAGTAGTGAGAAGTGTGAAATTTTTAAAAGTCTCCTGAGATATGGAAGGTATTACTGTTAGGTTGATGATTATTTTAGTGTTGTGTGAGAGGTTTTGAGCCTCAAAAACAAATGCATACTCTTTTCTGAAGAGAGATTTTAAAAAGCATCCCAGTTATAAAGGTGTCAGGCATCTGTGTTAGAATCCAAGGCCTGCTATTAATCTTGAGCAGGTCATTTGTGGCATAATACTATGAGCCTCAAATTCCTCATCTATAAAATGAGGACAGTCTTAGGACTTATCTCTTAGGATTGTAGTGAGCATTAAAAGAGAGAATTGTAGCACAGTGCAGTCAAATCATAAACAATCCATAGTCCATTATTGTTCTTACTTTTCTAAGTTTTTCCACTTTGTAATGTTTTTCTGGATCGGGGTTTGCTTCTCTATTAGGTTCAGAGCATCATTCGCTCCCAAACCAGTATGGGTATGCGTCACAGAGATCGTTCTACTACTGGTAACACCCTCAAGTCCGGCTTATGTTCAGCCCTCACCACCTACTTTTTTGGAGCTGATCTCAAGGGGAAGTTGACAATCAAAAACTTCCTTGAATTTCAGCGTAAACTTCAGCATGATGTTCTGAAGCTAGAGGTAGGTATTCCTTGGGCTTCAGGGGACCAGGGCACATATGCGCATGGAGCCACTGGGTTGAGAGGGCCTGCACTATTGGCAATCTTTCAATCTACCTCCAACTGTGAGAACTGATTGGTTTGAACCTTATCAGTCATCTACAACCTGACAGCAGGTAGGAAGTAGTATATTCTTTGAAAATGTCTTAGAATAAGGTAGTTCTGGGATTGAAAGCCAAAAAGTCTAAATTGAAAATTTTAATGTCTTCAGATACCCAGCTTGAGAAAAAAGAGAGATTCAGAGCATTTCTCAACCTGAGCATGTATCCCCAATTTTGTTTATTGTGTAGAAGGCACAGGAGGTGGAGATGAAGGGAGATGATTAGTAGCTCTTTCTATGAAAGTTTACAAAGGTAATAACAGCTGGAAACACATAATGTCAAAATAAAAATATATCTGCTCAGAGTTACAGAGGTGTCATACTGTGCTTGGGGATTTACTTTTCCACTTAAAGTTTAGACCATCATGCTATTCAGTTCCTGGACACAACTCGGTAAGAGCATTACCTTTTTCTATGTGTATATTTATTGAATTAAGTGTGTTTTGGGTTAATTGGCTACTGAGTCTGCTCAATTCAAAACATTTATTAAATGCCTTCTATATGCATTTTTGTCTGGAGGCGAAAAATGAAGTCTAATTTCTTCAGATTTTTAAAAATTCCCTTACACTGGTGTCTCTCTACCTCTTTTTTTTTTTTTTTTTTACCATGTGCCCTACTTTAATATTCTTTAAATTTTTAAAACATTAAATACTATGACTAAAAACACATACAAGTATTGGAGAAAATCACTGCTTTGTTTTTTGTTTTTTTTTAAAGATTGGCACCTGAGCTAACAACTGTTGCCAATCTTCTTTTGTTTTTGTTTTTGTTTTTTTTATTCTTCTCTCTAAAGCCCCCCAGTACATAGTTGTAGATTCTAGTTGTAAGTGCCTCTGGTTATGCTATGTGGGACACCATCTCAGCATGGCCTGATGAGCGGTGCCATGTCCAGGATCCCAACCGGTGAAACTCCAGGCCGCCGAAGCAGGGCCTGTGAACTTAACCACTCGGCCACAGGGCCAGCCCCAGCACTGCTTTGTTTTTAAACTATGCATGTTACTTCTCTATCTGCTCTCCCATTTTTCCCCAAGGTTCTGATATACTACTCCCACCTCTTCCACCCACCTAACTCAATTGAGACAGTCAGCAAAATCACAACTGGATTCCCATTATTGTTAAGAACATTGTTTAATATTCATACTCTAGGATAGAAGCAGAAGTATGGATAATACTAAAAGATCAAACTTTGAAATGTGCTTTTGTACTTGTTTTTTGAAAATGGTCTAATTGATATTCAAAGAATTTACCTCAAAAAAACAAAGTAATTGATCTCCACAATTCAGTCTCCTTAAGGAGGCTCTTGTGGCCCCTATAATAAGTGATAAGTGAGAAAGATATATATATACACACACTATTTATACGTGTATACACACACACACACACACACACACTATATACATATATATGTAGTACAGGGGAGGAAAAACTTTATTTCTACCCTTCTAGGGTCTCTGGCTAGGCCTAAGAATTAAATTGACATAAGACAGATTAACAGGAGAAAAACAGAGAGACTTTTTTACACGTACATGGGGACGCCCTAGGAAAATGAAGACCTAAAGAAGTGGCTAGGCCTAAGTGTTTATATAGTAGGTTGAACAAAGAGAGGCAACTTACCTTTATCAAGTTTGTATTCATATCACCAGAAAGGAAAGTCAAAGTCGAGAGTAATCAGTACAAACAAACCTTCTTAGAATAATTCTTACCTTCCTTTAGTCTCCCCATGTATTTTAGTTACTTTTCCACAATTGCCTCTCCTGGTTTCTTTTCTGCTGGTATAAGGAGGACATCTTTCACATGGGAGTTTTATCACCTGCTTTCAGGAGTCCAACAATTTTTGTGTAAGAGTTGGTATGGAATAGGATTCTAGGGCCTTGGCCCCCAGAAAGCATCTTCTTTGGAAACATTATAACATAATCTAGTAATGTAAGTTTTTTAACTTATTAATTATATAATTACAATTTAAGTAGAGATCCGTAAAATGTAGTTAGAGAATAAAGCGCATGCTAGAAGAGTACTTTTAACAAACTTTAAACAACAATAGAGAGTCATCCAGAGCACAGAGCAGATGCCAGACCGACCCCAATCTAGCCTAACACTCAGTAGGAGTCTGGACACACAGTAGGAGTCTGAAGAGACAGAGCATGAACTTTCGTCTTTATCCTGAGATGCTCTAGAGCTGAAAGCCCGCTAACATATTGTATAGATTTCCAGTGAGTAGAATATTATAAAGCAGATTAGAGATTTCATGCATGTGTACCTGCACATAGCCTACACCCAAATGCAGAAGAAAAGAGACCTAAAAGACAGTTGTATCTAAGATGCTTATTCTAGAAAGTCCTCTCGTATTTGACATTGACTTAAGATCATCTGTAGGCTTTGGGCCAAGACATACCAAAACTGTTCGCCAATCAGCAATTCCTCATGGAAGGAAACCAATAAACCCAGACTACCATATAATAAGTATTCTATAAATGTTTATTAATCCTGAATCCATTCTTCCCACATAACGGCACAAGTCCAGCGAACAAGTGTCTCTTTATCAATAACCCACATATTTAACATTTCATGGATCAGTACTGTGTCTTCTTAACTAGATTTGTAATTCTTTGAGGAAGTGTGAAGAACAGAAAGAGCATAGGCTTTGGTGCTCTCATACTGAGACCTTGGTTAAAATTTTGTTTCCACCACTCACTGGCTATGTGACATGTGAAGAGTAATTTATTCTCTCAGAGCCCAGCTCCTCATTTGTAAAACAGGGTGATGGTTAAGTGAGATAGTGTTTCTTATGGGCTGAATTGTGTCTTCCAGAATTCTTATGTTGAAGCTCTAACCCCCAGTACATCAAATGTGACTGTATTAAGAGATATGGCCTTTAAAGAGGTGAATAAGTTAAAATGTGGCCATTAGGGTGAGCCCTAATCCAGTCTTACTGATGTCCTTATAAGAAGAGGCTTTTTGGACACACAAAGAGACACGAGGGGTACACATGCACAGAGGTACAATCGTGAAGAGACAGCAAGAGGGCAGCCAACTGCAAGCCAAGGAGAGAGGCCTCAGAGGAAACCAACTCTGCCTGTACCTTGATCTTGGACTTCCAGCCTTCAGAAGTATGAAACAATAGATTTCTGTTGTTTGTCACCCAGTCAGTAGTATTTTGTTATGGCAGCCATAGCAAACTAATACAGTGGTATTTGCCTAACACGACCTAGCATGTACTATGCCTTTAATAAATATTCTTTTACCTACTCTTTTATGCCCTCTGCCAATTAGTATGGCAGTTGGCATATAGTAAACTCTTAAACAGGTTATCTCAGATGACTGAAAGGCCTTACTTTCATTTACTATCCAAATAGTTTTCTGATAAAACATCTGGAAAATGGAAGCAAGTTTTGTTTTTATGAAACACTTTTAATTTTACTTTTCAAAGTTGGGGTAATTTCTTCCCTCACTGAGTATGAAATATAACTTCATCATCAATTCCAAGAGGAAAATGGAAATGATTAATAGTATCTTAACTTTCATATAGGTTTTATAATTCCATTCTTCTCTCTATCCATCTCTTACTAGTTTTATTTCATTACTTAGTTACCTACTTTCAAATTTTAGATCAAGGAGATTTTTTATTCCATGTAGTTATTTCTCCTTTTTCTCACCACAGTAGTTTTTTTGAGTGAAGAGAACACTATTTCTCTGTCAAATTTAATTTCCCAAGGGATCAGGGAAGAAAAGTCCATAAACATTTATTGGGTGCCTCCTGTGAGCCAGGCGATTTACATGTATTCCATGTCTTCTTTATTTTAATTCTCGCCAACCCTATTGGGTTTAGTGGTGTTATACCCATGGTACAGATAGAGAAGGTAAAACTCAAAAAGGTAAAGTCACAGAGCTGTTAAATAGTAGACCCAGGATTCCAACTCAGTCTCTCAGACTGAACTATTTTCTATTCTTTATCTGATTCTTATCACTTTTAGTCTGAGATGAGGTTTCTGTGCCTGACATATTTGGAGCTTTAAAGAAAAAGTGTTCTGAATTTTAGGAACAGAAAAAAACTAATTTCTTGAATATGTATAGTCTACCTTCTTCAGCACCATCTTCTTCCAGTTCCTTTGCCCCTCAAGTTGACTCTTATAACTGAGAAGAAATATACTGTTCTTTTGTATTTATAAGATACTACCTAAACTAGCCATTTAATTTCTTTTCATAACAATCATTAGCTTGTTAGATTTTTTTTTTAATATTTTAATACTCTTACTTCTGGTCATATCTGTTTTATTCTACCCTTATTTCTCTATTTGGAAACTCAAAAAACATGGGTTTGAAGGAATGACTTAAGAATACACAGTTTATTTTTTTTTAAATCTCTTTTAAAGTTATTAAAAATTCCATCTAAGGCTACCAAGAGCTATTGAGTTCAATTCCTTGGAGACAGATGCCAAGTCTAATTCCAGTTAATATATTCATTGATTTCTTGAGGACTACAGCAAGTAGGATGTCAGTCAAAAATGAAAGATAATAGAGAGTTGAGATTAGAAGATCCAAGATGGCGCCGTGAGTAGTCCTCTTTGTCTCTCGCCCTTCGAGTCTACAATTATTTGGACACTTATCGCTTGACAAAGGATATCCAGACAGCATCTCAGGACGTCTGAGACACCCACGCGACTATACATCGGAAGGCGGACGGACTTTCCTCCGGGAGGATGTGGAAATAGGTGAAAACTCTCCGACCCCGACGGGCAGCCTAGTACCCGCAAGCAGCTTTCTTCCAACGGACGCCCTCAGAGGATCCACACACACCTAGGGCAGGAGCGAGAACACAACAGAGGAGCGACGGTGGAAACAGGTGACCAGAACCCTACCTAAAC